GTGCACAATCTTTTTTGTTTATAAATAACCGCTATGAATATATACTTAAATATATGTACCTGTGTATGTAAGTGCAAAAAGTGCATTTAAGTACACAAGTGATTATTAATAAATAGAAACGTGCTATTGCATTAATTCGACAAACCAAACGTTGCAAAGTCATTGGTGTTTTCGGTTGCCATAAAGCAAAGCATATACAGTTGAGGGTTCTGTATTGAACACATTTGAAAAGTTTTTTATTTTGAACCTAGTGAAGCTCTGTGAAACATTGCGTAGCATAAATTCCAACTGACATTGAATATTGACAAGATAATAGACAATAATACAGTGGCATTCACTGCATTCACTGCATATTATAAATATTAAACAGAAAGCAACAATACACGTATGTATGTAAGACCACTTCGGTTTGATAAGAAAGAAAATGCTTTTTATTCTGGCTGCTTTGATAAAACAATGATAATAATATAATAAAACAAACTTTAAGTAAAAAAGTTAAATAAAGTTATGAAAATAAAATAAATAGATACTAGAAATTATAAATACGACAAAATATAAAAACCCAAAATATTAAAACATAAAAATATAAACATAAAAAGAAATTAAAAAAATATATTAAAGGAACATAAGAATTTTAAGATATAAAAATGTAACATATAAAACAAAAGAATAATTAAATTAAATAAAAGAAGAAATAAATAAAATAAAGTAAAACTATATAGAACAAAACAAACTAAAACCAGATAAAAAATATAAAAATAAAAGGATATAAACTACCATAAAATATATTAATTTATATTAAATTAGAATTAATTATATTGAAATAAAATGAAATAAACTAAAATAAATAAAAAAGATTAAAATAAAATAAATTAAAGTAAACTAGATTAAAATTAAATAAATTAAATATAAATAAATTAAAAAATAAAATAAATAAGAAAAGAAAAATAAATAGGAAAAATAAAATAAATGAGAAAGAATTAAAAAAATTATTAGAAAATAAAAAAAATATTAAAAAAAGTAAAAAAAAATTTGGAAATAATTAAAAAAAAAAGAAATTAAATAGAAAAAAAAAATTAAATAGAAAATGNATAAAATAAAATAAAATAAGAAAATAAAAAAAAAATTAAATAAAAAAATAATACAAATTAAAGAAGAATATTTAAAAAACTTAAAAACAATTAAAAAAAGATAAAAAAAAGAAATTAAAAAAAATATTGAAAGAAAAAATTAAATAAACAATTTTAAGAATTTGAATAGACTAAATGAAATAAAAAAAAGTAAAATAAAATATGATAAAATAAAATATGATAAAATAAAATATGATAAAATAAAATTAAATTAATTAAAATGAAAAAGTAAAAGATATAAATAAAAAATAAAATGAAAATAAAAAAAAAATTTAAGTTATTATTTTTATTTAGTTTTGTTTAATTAATTTAAATTAAACAAAAATTTCGAGAATATAAATGAAATAATAAATATATAGATAAAATTGCACCACTTATGCATCCTAACAAATATAATACGTACATATACTACATATTTACATTATGTGTTTTTTATTATTGTATACTCATTTATTTATTGCATTTATAACTTATTAACAATTAATCTACACACGTTTGTTTTTATTTTAAAAATAAATTTATACAGTTGTTTATTTGTGTATTAGTAACTGAAATTAAGTTGACTTGAGGGTTTATTTGCACATACTGAGCCGACAACGATTTATATATGCATGTATATACTAAACTAAATTATAAATTTGCTTACATATTTATTTAGGAATAAAGTTTATAGCTAAATTTATTGTCGGACTATTTATTATAATCAGCTCCGCTTAAACCAAAATATTTTGTACATTCTTTTAGAATAAAAGTAAGAAATTTATTTCTAACACCGAAATTATTTGTAAATAAGCAATGCATTTTTTTAATAAACCATAGTTCAAAATATTCATTAAAATTCATAATTTAAACTTTGTTTATTTAAATCCTTACCGTATAATCTCTATCTTTTATTTTATTTTCATATAATTTTATTTACAATAATTAAAATTAATTATAACTAAAAATTAGTTAAAATTTAATGAAAACTTGTTTCCATCATTAAAACCAGCCCCATACTTTGTATTTGTTGTTTTGTACTTACGCAAAAATCCTTAGCAATTAAGAATATGCGGGTACAAAGAACCATTGATTGAAAATTCGTTATTGAAAGAAAATTGTTGCAGGGTTCGAGACCCAGATAGTTTCTATAGTTAGCAAATATAAGAACCATTATCGCTTTTAGCAGATTATCTAATGTTATTTTTTCAGTTAAATACTCAGATAGTACAATACAAATAAAAAACTTAAAAGATTAAGCATATTAATTAAAAAATTAAAGTCGTCATTAACTATTTAATTTATTTGATATTTCAGTAGGTTAATAAGTTATGTGCTTTGTAATAATTGAGGAAGTCATTACATTGGCAAAATCATAAGACAATTTATTAAACTTGGTTAGGAAAAACAAAAACTTACATAGAAGTCATTGAAAAAAAAGATAAGCGATAAAAAATAATAATCTGTAATAATTTGCAAGTTGATTTTTTTTTTGTTTTTTTAAGTCTTCTGAGGAATAACATAAAAATGTAAGAATAAATGATAAAATAAAAAATTAAGTGTTACTCAAACACTATGACTAAATATATATACATATAAATATACATACAAATATTTCAGCTTTTTCATTATAAATAAAAACAATTAAGTTTAAGTTTAAAGCGCATGCCCGGCGCCAACAACACGACCAAACTCAGCAATGTTAGCGCAAAAGAGACAAACGTTTATCTTTTTTCTGCTTTTTTTTCTTTTTTGCTGTTTTTATACAATTTATACAAAAATTACCCACTTCCATGATTTCGCTTTACAATAATCGTACGCTTATGAAATTTTGCCACCACCACAAGTTGGCGGAGAATGAAAAACAATTGAATTGTTAATTACAATTGATAAGCAATGGGGGGTATTACGTTTGTCAGTTGATTTTTTTAATGTGTGTGTTTTTTTTCGCAAAATAATTATTTCCACATATTACTTTATTATTAGCATTTTCTACGTTAGCTTCTTAGCTAACTGACATTTATTGTTGAAATGTGCATGCTTTTCTGCTCCTTTTTTCTCGAGGAGTGGGTTAACGATAAAGCAACAATTGTTGCATATTCGGAAAAACCCAAATTGCTTGCGCCATCGTCGAATACCGCGTGGCGGCTTTTTGCAAGCACTTAAATTGTCATTATGTAGATATAAAGTTATCGTCGCCTATTATGTAGTTAAAAATTTCAAATTTTCACTATTATTTATTACGACTATTATGCAGTTCTTGTTGTTGTTGTTTCGTTTTTTTTTTTGCGTTGCGTTAACGATAAGAAATTATGCCCTCGGGTGTTCTAGCGAGCGATTGGTGCGGTCGTAGTAGCGAGCAACGGGAAAATATAATATATATATATGTACGATACTTGAAAGTAGGTGGTGTGGCGAAATTTCGCAATTAGGTTAGTAATATGTAGGTGCCATAAATTGTTGCATTTGTAGGTATTAATAGTTAGTTGCAAGAATTGGTTGCAAGAACAGCAATGGCGTTATCTGGTTGGGTACGACCGACCCGTTTGTTATATAGAGCGGCACGAATAGCTGTGAATTTTTTTCTTTTTTTTTTGATAAAAAAGTTATGAAATTGTTCTTATGTGCTAATGGGAATAAACAAATTCTCACTTTCATTCAAAAAAAAAGTGTTGTCTGTAGATTTGCAACTAGTGCAAAACGATTTTAAGTAAACTATTAAGTTCTAATCTTTTCAAAAATATTTATGCCATTCTGTTTCCAATTCAATTCACTATTTTTCTAACAATATAAATATATATTATATATGTATATATTTTATAGTCCAATATAACATCATTTGACCATCATAATCCTGGCAGATGCATTTAAAATAAATTCGACAAATATTAGGTTTCTTTTTTAATAAATAATATAATAGCTTTTTTGAATTCTCAAAATGGCGGCCGGCACAAATCTTTCTACAGATATTCAATAAAAATAAATGCTTAATTGTTTATAAAAGTTACCAAGGTACAGCCATGAGTTTTTTATGATTTCAGAAACAAACTTTCATGCCATAAAAGTCAAAGTTCTCAGTATGTCCATGTGTAAAACAAGCGGATGCTTTATACCACGTTTTCTTAATATAAGGCTATCCGTTTCGTGGTTTCAAAGTACAGTTTTGTATTCTGACAACTATCGAACTTAACTGTCAAACCCAACATGTTTTGTTTTAGCTAAAACGCATCGGCTAGCAACCGCAACACGCGTTACAAAAAGGCTGAGTCAAGTGTGGCCACACTTCGTGCTTTACGAAGAAGATTATGGTGTACATAATGGTCCAACTACTCAAGTTTTTCCCGCTGCACCTCAAATACCACTACTGTAAGTGAAAGTGTAGCCGAATACCCGAATGTGTGTATTTTGCGTTGTTCTTAAGAGCTGGGACTCTCTTGCGCTACATTTTAGCATGTTTTGCATTTGAACTTAAAAACCTACATCCATATAAAGTTCAGTTCACACAGCAACTGAAGCCAGCTGTCTGAATAGCAAGCAATAAACGGCGATTTCCCGAACAAAAAATTTTACTCAGCGACGAGGCAAATTTCTCATGCGTATAAACTTTTAACTCGTGAGTATTTGAAACATTCGTCAAGGTATGGCTGAGATACCACTCAATATGTGCCAAAAAAGTCGTTGAGAATTACCTTATACGGATCGAAGCTTGGAAAAGTTTGCGAGGCAGTCATTTGAATGATAATACAAAAGGAATTTCATGAAAAAATATTTTAATTGCATTTTAATTACCCTCAGAACTGAAGTAGGTAGGAACGTTTTAAATAAATTTATTATTTATTATTTTTACGCTCCTAAATTCCCTAACTAATTTATTTTAATTCTACTTTTCAGAAATGGGAATTGTATGTACTCAGTCGACTGGGCTGGGATTTGTCGTCTGTGACGCCCTTGGATTTTCTTGAATTGTTATTAATCCGCCTGCCAATCAAAAGTAAAGAATGTCCTGATCTGAGTCTCGATAAAGTGAGACAACATGCGCAGGCCTTCATCTGCTTAGCAGCCAAAGGTGAGTGAACGAGTGTATAGAAAACCAAAAAGGAAGGAAAGAAAGAAAATAACAACAATAATATCTAATTAAGTAACATAATTTATTGTAATGTTTAATTATGCGCAAAAGTAAATTTGCCCATTGATGGGCGAGGCTGCGTTTGGTTTGTTGATTTTGTGCATTCCCAGCATGTCAAACCAGTTCGGTCGCACACCTAGGCGATTTTAAAGCAATTTATGTTAAATAAAATATTCAAAACTAAAGTTATTTTAAATACATACTTTTTGTCGGTATAAAAATATGTTTCTTTTCTTAAATTGTTCCCTGCTTGTCTACTACTCATTCAGACTTCTTCAATTTCCAAATAATATCTGCATTTTTGGAAATTTTTTTTTTTTGTGAGTCCGTGTCGCGTCTAACTAGTCGGTTCAAATCTTCGTCGCCCACACCACCACCACCACAGCCTATGATGATCTACAACGTTCCATGGCATATCCTTTGAATGAAGTTGCATACTTTTTAACTTTTGTTAGGTGGTCGGCCGCCCGTTGGTTGGTCGGTCGTCTTTTATGTTTGCAGCAGCGCCAAAACGGGTGTCGGGGTGGCCTTAAGAAAAAAACAACACAAATTTAAAACATTAATAAAAATGCCACAGACCACGCAAATAACCTGTCTGCGGCTTTTTCACGGCATTATCAACAGCAAAGAGACAGCAGATTGCATAAAGAAACAAGTAAATGAGTTAAAGAGCGGTCCAGTGAACGAGTGGATGAGACGCGCATGCGTTCCTATGCCAGCATACCACAATCCACTTGCTTGGTTCATTATCAACATTTTTGCTTCCCCATGCCGTGGCGTGTGGCTTCAAGATGCCAATCGAGATGGTTGGCGTGGTCGTCGCCTTTAACGAAGTTCCTTTACTTTTGTGGGCTGGCTGACGTTGTTATTATACTGGTAATACTCTTGCGGTTGCCCATTCGCGCATTTTGGGTTTAGCGCATGGCAGCACTGAATTTTTATTGATTATTGGCTTTCTCATTGAAAATTATTTCCGCGCTGACAGACAGACAGACTGTCCTAGCACTTGCGGACGAACATATGTAAATGATGAAGTTTTGCTTGCTGCTCTCCGTCTGTTTAGTGTATTCTGCGACTGCGCAAACGTTACACTACATTCCAACTAATTCACTATGGTTTGATTCAAGCGAAACCTCTACGTCTACTGCGCATTCTTCAATAACGTGAAATTTAAAATTAATTCAAACAAAATGGAAAAAATTGAAGAAAAAAACAATTAAATTTAAGTAAATTAAAGTATTGTAAATTAAATTGAATTGAACTATACTAAATTGAATTAAATTAAATGGGATTCAATTAAATTGAATTAAAATAAATTAAATCTAATAAAAAAAATATTGAATCAAAAAATTAAAATAAATTGAATTAAATGAATTTAAATTGAACGAACTTAAAATAAATTAAATTGAACTAAATTACATAAAATAAAATAAAATTAAATTAAAATAAAGTAAATAAAATTAAACATTATTAAATTAAATTAAATAATGTTAAATTCAATTAATTTGTATTTAATTAATTTAAATTAAATTAAATTGAACTGAATGATATTCAACAAAAAATATTAAATTAAATTGAATTAAAAAGTTAAATCAAATTAAAAAAATTGATTTAAATGAAACGAATATTTAAATAATTAAATTGAATTGAAATAAAATTGAAATCAATTAAATTAAGTTGAATTAACTTGAGTTAAATTAATCTAAATTAAGTTACATTAAATTAAATTATATTATATTAAATTAAATTAAATTATATTAAATTATTTTAAGTTAAATTAACTTAAATTTTATTAAATTAAGTTAAACTTAATTAATTTGAATTATTAAACTTAAATTAAATTTAACTAAATTAAATTTAATTAAATCACGTTAAATTATATTAAATTTAATTAAATTACGTTAAATTAACTTAAATTAAATTAAATTATATTAAATTAAATTATATTAAATTAAATTATATTAAATTAAATTACATTATATTAAATTAAATTACATTAAATTTTATTTAATTTGATTTCATTTAAATTAAATAAAGTAGCCAAAAAAGATGAAACTAAATAGTGAAGAAAAAATTAATTAAAATAAAATAGTGAAATGAAGAAATAGAAAAATATAAAAAATTAAAAAGTTAATCAAAAGCAATGAAAAGATATTTAAAAGAATATAATTCTGCATAAGTGCTCAGCACTCATAAATAACATATTTGACATTATCTCCGATTTCGTTTCGTGTTATACACTTCCGTTCCCAATTGACGTTGGCCAGGTTGTTGGAGCTATCTCATCAATATTTTAAAATAATTTTTTTTCTCATTAAAAAACAATATTGTTTTCTCCGTTCTTCTCTCCTAACACGTGGCTTATTCAAGCGTTTGCAAATTTCCAACAGTGGCAAATATGAAATTTTATATTATTTAAAGCCACCGAAAACCAAAATTGAGAAAAAAAAATACACACAAAAGTGCCGACGACGTGCTTCAAACGAAATCGACGAGCAGTTAAATTTAGTGTAGCTACATCCCGAGCAGCGGTTGAGCAGAAAATTAGTCGCGTGGAACAGCTGCAATGAAATTTAGACAAAAAAAAATGATTGAGGAAATAGTAAATAAATAAATCAGATATTTAACGAAGGTAAAGGTAATATAAAGTAACAGCACACTGGATAGTTAAAGGGTAACTGGCGGTATTTGAATGCTAAGGGAAATTTGAGTATTAAGAAAATATAATTTGAATAATCACAAAATTAGTTAGAATAGATAAAAATGTATAATCTATTAAATATTAAAGTTTACTTTATACTAGACATCCTAGGGTGGATATATTTCATTTATCAAACTAAATATTTAATTTATTTGCTAGTTATGCATAAATGAATTTGATATTTCTTACATTTAAACATAATTTGAATTTAATGCCGGTTTGATTGTCAGAAAATTTAATATATTTTTATAAATTATCCTTTGGAATATATATTTTTTAAATATATGTTTTAGAAAATGTTAGTTTTGGAAAATTAATTCAGGACAAGAATATTTAGAGATATAATTTTTTTTAATATGTATTCTTCGATATGTATAATTTAAAAATAATTCTTTGAAACACTTTATTTCATAATATTGACAAAATTTTAATAAAAGTTTACTAAATTAAAAATTAATTAGTTAAAACGTAATTTTAAAATTTTGTAGTTAACTTCTTGAAAAAAAAAACTTTTTACTTATTTTATTATATTTTATGTTATTTTTATTTGATGGAATTTATATTATTTTATATATTAATACATATGCTTCAACATTTTTACTTACTTTATTATTAACATTATAAAAATCTATATATATATATATGTACTCATATTGTTTTTAATAATTTTGGTGGATTTGCTTAATTATTTCATTCTTATTTGCCATTATTAATGTAAAATATTTTTTATTTCTCCTTACGTACTTACATATTTATGTGTTTCTTTACTTCAGATATTCTTTTTTAATGGTTTAACTTTTTTTTTAATTTTTCATCAATTATTTTTAAATTAATTAATTAATTTAATTTTTAAAACTTGTAATTTTTATTTCCGTAAAAATTCTATTCACATTTTTTATTTATTTTTTATTTTAATATTTGATTATTTTTTTTTTTAATTTTTTCGTATTGAATATTTTTTTATTCGTTTTTGTGCTTTTATTTAATTTTTATTATTTTTATATGATTTTCGTTATTTTTTAATAATAGTATGAGCAAAAGTCACAATAACTTTTTGTGTTGTTTAATAATAATTAGTATTTTTTTATATATTTTAATAGTTTTAAATTTAAATTGTTTGCCGGCTTGAGGTCGATAAAATGAAAAAATACCGTCGAAATACATAGGAAAACAAAATTAATATTGATATTGTTAATTTCAAGCAAACTATTAAAATAAAATTAAGGAACAGATTGCCGAAACCATTAATATTTTAATATGTATTTCTGCGTAATATAATAATAACTATTATTTATATATTTTTTATTGTTATTATATTTTTTTAATAATTTTTATTTCTTCAGATATTTAATAAGTGATGTTTTTTACGTTTTTAATAATTATATTTTTTTATATTATTAATTATTGTTTTATATTATTTACTAGTTTTTATTAATAGTTTATATATTATTTATTTATTATTATTTACTTCTTTTCTTAATTTTTTTTTAATTATATCTGTTTTATATTTATTATGTTTTTTATTTATTTTGTTTTTTATTTATTAATATTTTTTAATTATTATTTAATTGTTTTTATTTTATTTTATTTTATTTTATTTTTTTTACTTATTTTTAATTTACTAAATTCAAGTTATTTTAATTTTAATTTTTGTTTGTTCATTAACGTAATTGCCAATATATAAGCACCATTGGCAGCCCTTGTGCTTCTTGTTTTGTTTTGAATTTTTTTGTTTTGTAGTACGTTTTTTATTACTGTTGTTCACTCCTGAAAACGTTTTAAATGCCACATTAGGTAGTAGGCAACGCATGCCAAAAAAATTAAGGGAATCCTTTTCACACAAATTTTTTGCATTCATTCGTCCCTTCATCTTTTATCGACATGAATCCCTAATGAAATTGCGTATCGGCTACTACAATGCATACGTGTCGGATTACATAAAAATATTTTCGCAATATCAAAAACGAGAAATGCAAAAAAATGAGCAAAAAAATATTCACGCCATCAAGACGCCTTCACAATTTCGCTGTATTTATTTAAATTAATATACATGTATATATACTTATACACTTAAAAAAAAATTTATGGTTTTATAACAGCGGAAAAATTTAAATGTTTATGCATGTGTATATATGTATATACATATATACATGTGATTATCCCTTACTTTCTTTGGTTTTTCGGAAATTTTTTAAAGAAAAAAGTGCTTACCTCCTTTCGCAGCACAGGTAATTTGAGA